CCCATCTCCCTATTAATTCTAAATTTCTTGAAAAAAATCGTGCCACTTGCCTTCAGGCGAAGGACGAGAATAAAGCTTCCAGCGTTGACTAGCTCAAATCGAGTGATGCGCCGCACATTCCCCGTTTATTCATAGTTATAGTGGCTTCTTGAATTTAACTTGACCTGCACAGTGAGAAGGGCTGGGGTTTGCCACTTCACTGCCAGTTATTCTCCCTGACGAGTCTGGCAATGATTTTTCGGCCCCGGATTGCTGGAGAGCTCAGTTGGCCCGATCAGGAACCGACATGGGACTCGATCTCTTCATCGAGAGCGTCGTAAGCGGCGCAATTGCCCTACAGTATCCCTGCACAGATGGATAGATATCAAAAATTCACAGATACTCAAATGTCGTAATAAAACACGCTCAAAGGCAGCTGGAAGACGAGAGAATATAAGTCGGTCCCACACAGAAACCATAAGTGGGTCCCCACACAGAAGAAATGTAACGCATCACATCTATGCATATAGAAAGGGGATCGCAGGAACACTTCGCAAGATGGATAACGCAACATTTATGGGTGGGCTGTTGACGGTCAGAGCGCCCTTACCACCCATTCTCGAGTCACAAAACAGAGACAACCTCTGACAACTCGTACGAGAACTGATACCGGTACTGTTACCGTTTTCGCTTACTGGACCCTACCTATTAGGTGATCGCGGGATGTGTCTTTAAGCACATCTCCACCTTATGGCTCAAGAACATCGAGTACTTCAGCACAACACATCAGGCTAATTCCACACCAATTTTGGAAAAAAAGAACAAAAGACAACAAAAATTGTCTCTGAAATCATTACACGTACCACTGCATTGGAAGGACTGAACCACTTCTCGTCACGACAACAGGCTTTTCTCGCTTGTCCAATGAAAAGCGGTGAAGCAAGCCCAACCTGAACAAAAGAAATTGTTCACTTCGAACATGAATTCAAACAACTTTACAAAACACTGCTTCAGTCACAAGTAGTACAATTAAAAAAAAGAAACTGTCTTAGGCAGAGAAAGACTGTAATAGAACTACCTGCATTTGAGCAATATGAAAGGACGATGTGACCGCGAAAACTTCGAAAACTCCGTCATCGATCTTTTGTGGGTGCTCATCGTCTGCATATTTCCATGGCTGTAACAAGTTCTCATTCTTAACCATATCTTCATGAAGAAGAAAAAAGATTCTTATGAAAGAAAAGATTCGGGCATTTCGCCATACGCTGCCCCACTCTTCCAGATTCAGGCCATATTTTAAAGGATTTCCTCTTTGGAAGAAGATGGCTGAGATTCTGGACCCTGATGTGGTTTGACCTTTGGAAACTCACAACACATCCACTTGGATCAAAACAGCCTGGCGCACACCACGAGGGTGGGCCTACACCTGACAGCACAAAAAATGAACTAAATAATTTACCCAATAACTGTTTTACTTCATGGGCGCAAATATCACAATTGCTTGGTTCAAAAACGCCAGGTACGTATAGCGTAGTTCGCTGCGGACGGTTGGGCGTGTCAGGCGGGATGATTTGGCGCGGTGCCAAACCCGTTCTCCACCAGTTGTTAAAGCGAGCAAATGATATGACTGTATCATATCGTTCGTATTACTCGTTTTCTACCACTTTTTGTCGCATGCTTCAACAAGAAGGCAGAGAACGGCTTTGACGGGGTGACACACTCATACTGCCTGACACGCCCAACCGTCCGCAGCGAACTAGAGTGAACGCCATTGATGCCGGTGCCAAAACTGGCCTGTAACCCTTACACCTGTGCCAAGGCGCCAACGTTTTCCTTACATGTTTTGGTTTCAAGAGGAGGGCGGGAGGGGGAGTAAGGCGGTTACTTCGCATGGGGGAATAACTCTTCGGCAACAACCACTGCTAGAGGAACAACCCGGTCGGAACGTGGTCTGACTTTTCAGAAGTGGATCAGTAGAGGATGAAGAGCGTCAGAAAAGAAAAGAGAATTTTGGGAAGAAGATATACCTGTACACCGGCGCCCCAACACTGAATGTTGAGAAAGACGAGGCCTTCGATCCCGGGCAGTTCAATTAACCTGAATCAATCAAATTAACTTGGTAGAAGGACACCTGTATGGAAGGAAACATTGAAAGGGGAGCAAAAAAACTTACTTATCATCCAAGTAAAGAGAAATGTTATCACGCAGTCCTTTACAGGTTCGAGTAAATACATCTTTAGTACCGAAGGAGAAAAAAAGAAATTTGTTGAGCAGCCTGCAATAGTGGATCTTAGCCGACGTATGGTAAAATCATTGAAATAATATATTTATTGACTGTCAGTTAACAATCATGTAACTAAAGATGTTAATGTCTAAAGAGACCAATCAGAGCGAATATCAAGAAATTAGTTCAGTACCTGCTACTCAATACTTTTGGTATCGATTTTCTTGTAGTCTGCATACCAAATGTGACACTGGCATCAACTCCAATCGATATATAGTTACTCATTTTCTTATTCGTAATAACCGTTCTTCTACCAAACTGAAAAAGTGCATCAATCTTCATGGATATAATGCGGAAATATTGTATATTGTATAATGTTGTATATTGTATAACATGGATTACAGGAGGCGGAGGTGGTGTAGTGACAAGTGGCGCGCTTACCACTCGCGCGGCGCCGGGTTCGAATCCCGGGTCGACACCCGCCCAGGCCAACCAAGCCTTCTACCCTCCGGGGACGGTAAATTGGTACCAGATTCGTCTGGGAGGATAAAACACTGACTTGTACATCGGCTGGCCACCGCAAGTCATTGTATAGGCCACATCGCATTCAATAAGCCACTACGATTCTGAATGGAAGTAGAATGCGTGCCGCATCCCACAAAGGGATTGATCAACGGCGAAGACTTTATCCTTTTTATCCTTTATTGATTACAGGGACAGTCTGTAGATGTAATAACAGAATTTACCTGATTTTTCGATTTGATCATTACATTCCACCTGTCCAACTTTTGTACATCCGCGGCGTAGACATCATTGAGATACTTAAAGCAGAAGTAAATGAAAAAATGAGAATATTTCCAGAGCAAAACGGATGAAAACTGAATTTGGTACCTCGAGGATATTCAAGTCGCCGTTCGTTCCTCCACCCCAACCCAGTACTCTGGACAAATCGTTTCCAGTTCCAAGAGGAAGAACGGCCATCTAAAGTGGTAACAATGTGTAGTAAATAAGCGAATCAAGGATCAGATTTCTCCCACGGGTTGAACCTAGTCCAGCACTGGGTTTTCTACCCTCAGCGTTACTAAAGGGCACGATTGCGATTACTACATCCATTTCACATTTGCGATTAACACAGGGAGACGGGCAAGAGAACCGGTTAACGGCCGCGCGCGGCGATCGGCGCGGCGTTTTCTTAACTCGTGTTAACCTGTCGACTGGAGCACCGGACTTCATGTAGACCCCGTCATCGTAGACATTCATGACTATTTTCGGTTCTGAATTGCCTGTTGTCGCCATCTACTACCTGGAACCATCGTCATTTGCGGGCGCGACGTCGCACGCGACGCCCATCAGCGCGGCGAATTACGATTCTCTTGTCACATACCCGTTACCACATCCCATATCCCGGAGATGGGGAGGGCGTGGGTGTGCACTTCATTTGAACGCGACCGGAAGGCTGTTGCTATGCCTACCCTGTGTTGCACTAAACAGGTTGGCTTTTGTCTCGAAATGAAATATTGCGCGAAAAACGCATCGCAAGCCATGTTCAAATGATCACGCCCTCACAAGTTACGGGATATGGGGCGTAGATTAGCAGGAGCACTTCAGCTTATTTGGTGCCCAGCTCTGCAGTCACAGAGAGTGCACAGCTTTCGTCATTCGAAAAAGCGTGGTGAGGTGGTCAGTGGCTTGAGATTTATTCTTGTCCTGGTCTGTTTCTTCGAAAACCGCTCACAAGAGGAAGCCGGAGGCGGTTAAACATCACGCCTTTGTTGCTTGCAATCTTGTAGGGTGGTTTCGCGTTTTCTTCAGGGTAAATTAGCAGGCCGTGCTCGCTCTTGCGATGTGCTCGCACGTCGTGTCACATGTCTTTGACCGGATGAGACTTAAATTTCCGAAAAACACTACACATACCGGTGGTTTACGACTGAACTGCTCCAGCACCTCCAAGACATTCGATATTGTTCCGTCGCCACCGGCAACAATAAGTCTCACATCAATCTTAACGAGATAACATTCAGTCTTGTTCGTACAGAAGGAGGGGCGTGTCAGGTGCGATGAGTTTGGCGAGAGGCCAAACACAGCTTTCACCACTTGTTGAAGTGGTCAGCGACATCAACTGACCCTATATGAACGATTTGATACGGACTTATCGCTTGTTCGCTTTAAACACTGATAGAAAAAAGGTCCGGCGCCGCACCGCACCAAACCCATCCCGCCTGACACGCCTCTTCACTCGCAGCGAACAACACTGTAGCAACCAAAATGATCCCAACAGAACTAAAGACAATAGAGCCTACCTTAGGATAATCATCAATCCATTGCAAAGCAGCTTTTATGTTTTCTTTTTGCACGTCAATAACCTGAAAATAACTCATGTAAAAATATAAAGTATTGGAACAAAAAAAGGTTTGCAACTTTGAAAATACTGAAGCCAAAGTAGTTGGGGAGGCGAAGAGCGTGGTGGCATTACTGTTTCATCACACCTGATGCTGTAACCTCTTTCCACAGGTTTAGCCTCAGAGGGACAGAGCCAGATGACCACAATGGGGTAGACGCGGTGTACCGCCGCGTACCACTCGCGTCTCAACTACTTAAGTTCCAAAATCTAGTCGTAGCTACCAGCTGGCAGAATTTCCAGCAATGATATTGTGGAAATCACAATTTTCACGAGTTATGAAAGATAAACTTAAGTGACCCCGAAGAAAGTTTCACACACCTGCCTTGGATGGAGATGACGAAGGAAGTTTCTATACACTACTTTACCAGTACACGATCCGCAAACTGTATTTGTTAGTGCAATTATAGGTTTGAAGTCAGTTTGGTCAGATAGTAGTAACCGGTCAATGACCTATTAAGAAGAAAGTATTAAGTGAGAGAAACACAAAAAAATGAAATGTCTCGTACCAATTTTTTCCCAGCTTTTCTAGTAATTACGCTATGAGGAGGAAAGGTGAATTTCCTATACTCGCCAAAATCGCAGACATCAGATGACAGCTTCTTTAGGCAAGGCGTATGTATTACACGCCAACATCTGAAATTTGAACGAGTTAAAGAAAAGTCAAAAGGAAAAAGAAAAAAGAAAGTAAAAAAAAACGTACAAGCAACAGGAATAATCCCGCAGACCGACACCGCCACCACAGAGTTCATCACAAATGCAACAAAACTGGTCCGAATCAATATTCCCTGGGATCTAAACAGTAAACGAATATTATCCGATTATAGACAGAAGCTACCACATCAAAACCGAATATTGGATGAAGAAAGAAGCGTCAACTAACTCAGGTAAGCTAGTACCTTGAGCCCTGTTGGGGATCTAGAATGCATCATGTGGAAGAATTTGAAAGGGATTGGTCGGTTTAGTTTACAACCAATCACAGGCATCAGACGCATGCCCTATGTCTGAACTCACGATTTACAAAATGCGCTCGAAATGTATAAGAAGCGCAGGCGCAAGAACACACGTTCAAGGATTTTTCTCAATAAAAAAACTCGTCTGTTTAAACAATTCGGATTTTAACAAAAGTATTATTCAATAAAATAAAAAGCCTCACCCAATCGTGGTGAAACCGCCCATTATCATCTGGTCTTTGAACAGTTTTACAAGTAACCTTGGCAGCAATATTACGAGCACAAGCAACCTGAAAATCGGAATTGGAGAGCACAACAAATACCGAAGCGAGGCAAAAAACAAGTAAGGAGTTATTAAGCTCTACTCACCTCATCCACTTTTAGGGTACAGTAATCACATTCATAACCGGAGATCAAATGCGTTTTACATGAGGCACAAAAGAATCCTCGATCAACAAAATCGACTCGTGTCCAGTAATGTCCACCTGAACATGCAAAATATATGCCTAGACGTCTACAGTAAATCGTAAAACGTAGACTATAAGTTGAGGAAAATAGGTGGGATACAGTACACGGAATGCGCGTAGAACTGAGTGGCTGGGAGCGCCGTATACACAGAACTAGGTAGCATCCGTCTCAGGGCACTTGTCAACCGGGAAGCCTCTCCTCTCTTTCCTTTTTTTCTTCCTCCTCCCTTCTTTTCCTTCCTTCCTTCTCTTCCCTCCTCCTTCACTTCATCCTTCAAATACTGGACCGGTAGATGTCTCGTGAAAATACCCCTGGACCCTCGCAGGAAGAACTCGTCTGGGGTCTCGTGGTATACCCATTTGAGCGCACTCATGGAGCCGACACACTTAAATTCGCGAGCGATGGGTACTGTGTCCCGCTTGCTTTCTTAAACATTGACCTTAGGGCACAGCCTGGTCGGGCTAGGGCTGTTGAAAAGGAATTCTGAGCGGGTTACGCACACAGCATTCGCTTAAGGACCCCTGTGATACAACAAGCAACGCTGCAGCATGTCAAGTCTTCCAGCTCAGAGGTGTTCTCCCACGTAGTTCAGCGGGCGCTATGCCCCCCCCCCCCCCTGCGCCCGTTCCTTAACGAAGCCTCAGGCTTAGAGCGAAGATGGTCAGATTCGAAGAAAGCGCACATAGACAAAGAAGCATCTGCTTAAAGACAGCCCCGCGCTCGAGTAGTACATGGTCGTCCTTCCTTGTGCAAGTAGTACAGCCCCAAGCTAGAGACTGTCCCACTCTCGCGACTCCACAGCGAGCGAGGAGCGAGCTACAGCCGCTGAAAGTTCTAGTTCTAACGCCCGCCCAGTTGGACCGCCCACTTGCTAGATGCCCTCTGACGGAGAGCCGCTCAGTTGTTCTTTGTTGGGGCGGCGGGCATTAATCGGAACTGCATGCCCTTTTTGCTGACCGCGCTCGTGCCCATGAATGATTCTGCTCTCCTTCATTACATTTTATTCATTAGGAGCACATACAGTCAACTCCAACCCATCTCGCAAGGTAAAACGCGTAAAAATCACGAGCGACCCAATTTTCGTGGTGCAAAAGCTCGACGCACTACACTACACTAAAAGATGCACGCTACCGTAACCCTAAATTCGGACGCCGAGTTTTTGAAAGTTTCTTTTCCTTTTCAAGAGTTTTTCTTCCGTGTTTTCGTTGTTTTCCGTATTCTTTTCTTTGCACTTGGATGATATCCACTACTGGAGATGTGATAAAGGGATTTGTGAGCCAGGGGTTGCACAGAGACCGCAGGGAGGTGTGACTGTCAGGGAGCGATTTTGTTTATGGTGTTCTTGAGGACTCTTCTTGCTTTTTTTCTTCTTTGGGGAATTACTTATCAGCTACTGTTTCATAATTGAAAAGCAATTATCCATGACACTTTTATCGCGGGAGCTGTCTTACACAGTGCTCACGCTCAACCAATTCGTAGGTATTCATCCTTGTTCAAGTACTCTGGCCCACAGTCTCTAAGACCGTCCTAGTTCGGAAGCTTCATGGTAATGAAAAATGAGCTGTAGTCCCCATAAGTGAAAGTTCTGACGCCTTCCTAGGTACCCCGCCTACGAGAACTCAAGGACTATTTTCCGTCACGTGTTCAGTTCACACACTCTACTTCTCGTTTCTTTTTTTCAGTGCTGGATAGCACTGCATGACGCAAAGAAATGACGAGTGAGCCAGAAGCGCAAATTATCTCTTTGCTTGCATGAAACAAGCACGTCCGCACAACTCCTACTGTGAGGTTGCCAGTGTTCCTTACTTAAGGCGTTTTCAATTATGTTTTTTTTTATTTCACGGATGGTCACTTACGACTGCAGGACTGTAAATAAACGGTACTATTCACAATATGCAGTCGCAGAATTTGTGTTTAAGCGTCGTAATGCAAATACACCAGGAGAAAAACAAATAAAATTAAATTCATGTAAATCGAATAATGGTTAATAATACTGCTTACTTTTGGCTGATATAGAGTCGTTAATTGATTTCCGTTTTCTCTCTTCCAATAGCTTCCGAAAGACGTATATAACTATAGCAGTAACTATAACGAATAGAAAGGCGACAGCTAGTTCTTCATATAAATCCATTTTATATTGCTAGAAGAAAGTACAGACAATTGACGACGAGAGGGGCTCGTAGTCAAGAATCACATTTTATTATGCAGAAACGCATTATCTGCCGTTGTACCTCAGACGACGACGAAGGACGGTGTGAAAATGAGTGTGAAAAGGCAGAAACACGTTTTTCAAGGTACACGTACGCGTCACGACCGCATCGCGTGTCAAGGGAGACAAATTTCTGAAAGGAGCACGGTTACTGGAGCCATAATGTCGCACAAACCAAGTTCAAAGAAATAATTTTATGGAAGAATAGCGAAAGGATCCTGGATAGTTGATTGGGACTATTGCATACCTAAAGTGCCATCAGCCGAATTCTCTCAAATGATCAATAAATCGTTACAAAAGCCTAAAAGAACACATTGCGAGAAGAAACATGTTGTGCTCCTAGATGGAATAGCAAGATTAACCAAGCTCCACTTCTTTTTTCATTGACTAGCTCTAAGTGCTTATATGATTTTTACTGAGAGCCAGAATATATTTTCAGGTGGTAAGCAAACACGCGCAGAGGACCGCGCCCTTTAAATGATCAGTAATCACGCTACATGTGACCTCATCAATATTCATGCGAAATGGAAGTGTTGTGAACAATATTTGCACTTTGCTTTATGCGTGGACTGGTTTTTGGTGGTGCTTTGCACAATACGCCTGTCGCGAGGGGCATTTTGGCGCATGACACTCAATGAGCTTAAACTGTGACAAACTTCCAGTTTTACCTTAGGCTTTTGGAAAAAAGGTGCGCATTAAATTTTGAAAGAAATCTGACCTCAATTCCGATGAGTGAAGCAGTAAAGGATAAAGTGTACTGCGAAAAGTAGCACCACTGGAGCTCTTCCCTCTAGGTCTGAGTAAAGGTCTTCATTCTCGCCTCAACATGCACCTTCCAGCCCTGAATGCCGTCTGTGTTTTGTAAAAAAAAACCAATAGATGTTGTGGGAACGATGTCCATCAGATTTTCTGGCTTGAAGGACACCTGGTGCAAGACTGGGATTACTGTGCTTTGCACGAATCACCGTACCGGCCACCAACCATCGCACCAAGAGGGTGGCCTAATTAGAATATCACCGTGCTTTCCAAAAGGCCCCTTATGGGGCTGTTGTCAACCAGACGTGCTCTCACTGCGAGGGTCCAGGGTATTTTCACGAGGCATCTACCAGTCCAGTAGTTGAAGGGAGAAGGTAAAGGAGGAGGGATCAGAGAAGGAAGGAAGGAAAAGAAGGAAGGAGGAAGAAAAAAGGAAGAGAGGAGAGAACCCGGTTCGCAAGTGCCCTGAGACGGATGGAAAGGGCTGCCCTGGCTGCGTTTCAAGCTACACTCTTCCCATGGGTTTGTAGAGGTAATGAAGGTAAATTCAATCGAAGTGGATAAAAAATAAGAGTCAGAAGTCGCTGGATTCGCGGCCGGCGGAGTGTTCGGTGGTGTCTGAGAGATTCGATTGTGATGTGGAAGGCTGCCAGCTTTCCTTCATTGCCTGTGTAACTGATCGGTCGGCAACCGTTGTCTGGTACCTCGCCCGCATCGCTGAGTGTCTCTGCGTCTCCATTCATGGCATGTTCATGCAGTGCTAAAAAACACACACGCTTCACACTTGTAGCCTCCCAACGGGCTCCTCCGCTTTCGTTTTTGATGACTGATGAGTACCATGGGCGAACACACATTTCCACAGTTGGAATGTGCCTTGGAGTCCGTATTAAAGAACCATCTCTACTTTGAGCTACTTCCTTGAACGACCAACCATTACATTTACATGTCTACGAGCCTTATGTGACTTTTCTCTACCCACAAAGACATTGGTGAAATAAACCGATGAGATACAATGTATACCTACAATCAGTATGAGATGTTTCGCCCAGATAGATTTATCCCTTCGGTGAAATTGGCACAGTGCCACGCACTTGGTGAAACGTGTGGTATAGGATGGCGTAGTAATAAAGTGCTTATCAAGGAATGACCACGAATCTAAAGTGCATCTCATTATCAGCTGATGTCGCGCCTTGGTTTGAACTACAAGTGCTATTCACATGTCACAATTACATGTAGGTGGCATAGGTGTGAGTCCAATGTTTGGTCAGCAATCACTTGAAAAAAGAAAGTTTCTGTAAGTTCTTGAGGCATTAGGTTGTCCGGAATTTCTGCACGTTTTGTGTTACTATTTTTTGAACATTCATTGCTGATTAAAAACTCACTCTCCCTTGCGTCTCAGTAGTACATCCTGAAGAGAATTCTTTGCGCTATCTGATGGTATAACTGCCGTTTCACCATTGCTTGATGAACCCCTTTTTTAAGATTTTCGGACGATTTTTTTCTTCGACTATAAATTGGGGCAATCCGCAATCGAAACAGCTCAACAAATTAACCAGGTGTGGGGCCCAATAGTGCTAGAGAAAGCACTGTGCGGCAATGGCTCAACAAATTTCGTTCTGGAGATTTCAGCCTTGAAGATGAACCGATGAAGAATAGGAGAATAGGCTCCGCCCACAATGGGCGGGGCCTATATTCAGCTGAGCGGTGTCTCTTGAAAACGTCAACAAAACACTTAAACGCCGTCAACTTTGGGATGGGGGTGAGGGCATGTTGAAAATATACCGAATACACACAAACAGCTAGACGGGGCGTGCACCGAAGTGAGTAACTACTCACCTCGGTGCACGCCCCGTATAGCTGTTTGTGTGTATTCGGTATATTCGACCGAATACACACAACGACAAAAATTCGTAAAATTCCTCCGGAAGATCACAGGGACCCGGGACAAAATCATTCTCTATGCACCACGTTAGACTACACCCAATGGGCGGGGGCATACCCGAAGTGAGCGGGGCGTTTGTTCGGGCGGGCGGGGCCTAACGCAAATCTTCAAAATTCAGACCCGGAACTACTCGGGCAGCGGGAAAACGGACTCGAGTAAAAAGTGGGCAGGTAGATAAACAGAAGGAGGCACACCCGAACTGGGCTTTGGAAAGAGCCCGGCAGATTGCAGTCGGCGGGCGTTTGTCTGGGTAGGTGGGGACCAGTAAAAATTTCGAAGTTCGAACCCGGAACTACCCGAGCAGCGGGAAAACGTGGAGTAAGAAGTGGGTCGAGGTTGATTCGATCGATTTTTGCGAGCAGTGTTTGGATGAACCAGCTCTGTTATCGACTCGAATTTTGTTACAGAAAATTCGAGTGGGCTGCATTCTATGGAGGGGGGGGGCGAGCGACGGGTTACATAAGTGAAGTGAAGAGACACCCCAGCGGATGAGATGTGCGCCGAGTCGGCGGCGCCTGCTGCAAAAGTTCATAATATAGTCGCAAGGCAAGTGAGAACAGCAGTGAATATGAGGTCATAATCGAAAATTCATAACTTACTACCAATTTTTTGCATTTATTTATTTGTTTATTTACCTGCTATTCTTCTACAACAACTCAAATACACATATACTTCCACTTCAGTTCATCCACTACCGGCATTCCACCCCTCGCCTTTACGAAAATTTCACAACCGTCCACTAGGGGGGTATATACCAAATGTGAAACGGTAATGTTCTGGAATTGCAAAAAAAAATTTTTTTTTCTGTAGCGACTGGCCCTCAGTTTGGATGGCCGGGGACCCACTTCACACGCATAAGGAGGATCGCCCGCCGAAGGCGGGCGATCCGACTGGTGTATGATAACAGGAGACGTTACGGACAGTAGTTGGATGCCGACGAACCACCGAGGCAATTTCCAAAGCCGAATCCTCACGAAAAAAGATTATGGTCACAGTGTGGTGGTCATCGGCTGGTGTGATCCACTATAACTTTTTATCACCAGGCCAAACCATCACAGCAGAACCCTACTGTGAAGAAATCGACGAATTGTACCGAAAATTTTGTCAGATGCAGCCAACACTTATCAAAAGAAAGGGTCCGATTCTTTTGCATCGCCCACACGTTTCACAAATCACTATCCATAAATTGAACGAATTGGGGGTTGAAGTTCTACCTCACCCGCCATATTCTCCAGACCTTTCACCAACCGACTATCACCTTTTCAGACATTTTCAGAACTTCCTTGCTGGAAAATACTTCATCAATGAGGACAACCTAATATTTTACAGCATGAACTCTACACCAAAATTACGTGCGCGCCAAACCAATGTAACAACGGTGAGGTAATAGATTGAGTACTGGTTTTCAAGTAGCAGCATCCCAACAAAATGCCATTACATGCTCTCTACCTGCATATTTGGATTTGCCTCGGGACGAGGACATTGAGATGGTCCTTGGGAGATGAATACAACCGATGGATCGTCCTCCCACGAAAACCTTATCATGTAATCAATGTTCGATCTCCAGAAGTACCTCATGTAGTGTACACCACCTGGAAAACCAACGAGAGGGGCAGAATTTACGCACGCTGTGGACATCCTGAGAGCATTGGAACTTGGTCAGTAATCACCTGCGAAGCCAACTAAAGTCTCCAGTCTCTCAGGGGTTTTTTATTGGTGAAAGTTAGTTGAAGGTGATACAGTCAGGCCGTCCTTTGAGAATCTCCATGGAGTGGAGTCTCATTCGTTCGGTGAAGGATTAGGGGCTGTACTTGCTTTTGGGAAAAATACTTTCGATCGCTGATGTCTTGCTTTTTCTCGTTTCATGCACTTGATACACCTTCTACTCCACTCGATGGTAGATTTTTGGGAAAAAACTGGATGATTCCTCCGGAAAAGCGGTGGAAAGTAGTATAATCTAATGGAGAGTTCAGGAACATGGTAGGCGGGATGGAGGTCCTAACAGAGGAAAAAGATTCGGGGAGGGGGCGTACTTTGCAAAATTTCCCCCAACGGCAGGGCGTGTCCTGGATACAGCACACGCCTAAAACGATTTCATCAGTTCTCAAGACTGGCCATCTAACAGCCCGTATCTGAAGCGAATGGATTATTCCCTGAGGTCCTAGTGAAGGAGCAACGCCTAGTCAATTTTGGTCAAACATAACTTTTCGGGAAAACGTTTCTGAAGTATCAGGACCCCTCGCAGTCATAATGCAGTGTACTGACCGCCCTCTTGCTTTTGGAGACATGAGAGGACATAAGAGAAGTCTGAGTCCGTAAGCGTGCAATATGTGAAAGGGCAGAAGGTAGCGGGATCCTATCAGTCGCGTGGGGGGTGCCCTGCTTTCTTTGTGGTGAGGCGTTCAGTCTACTATCCGGAACCTTCCGAAAGCTAC